TTTCACTTCTATGATATTTTTTTAAAGTAATCTCCACAACTCTTAAAGACTCCTGCTTTTGTATTTCACATTTCTTTGTTTTTTTTTTTATCTTTTTAAATTTATTTTTTACACTATCACTTTTTTTTTCTTTTTTTTTTTTTTTTGGAGAGGTTTTTGCTATAGGGTGCATGCGCTCGCCAGACAGACAGAGAGAGACATAGAGACAGAAAGCGAGAAATCACCCCCCAGAGGGGATGGTCACGCCGCAATCCCTTCTCCTCCATTCTCCTCTCGGGATCTTGGGCACGCACGCACACGCGCCTGGCGTGAGTTTTAAGCCACCGGGTCCGGGACACGAACTGCGGTTGACTACGTGGGAGTCCAGCGACATAACCATTACGCTAACTGCTGGTTCCCACACTATTACTTTTAATGTAAATTACACTAGACAAGATGACAAATGCAGTATTTATATACCATGTACTTTTCTTTTCTCTGAGAACATACATCCTCATCAACAAATAATAACCCATATCCACGTTTCTTTTTTGCTTGTACTCCTTCCCCTTTCAATTGCTACCATTACCTCCCCATTTCTATGCAAAACTTTCACAATCTTGTAACTATTCTTCTTCGAATGGAGAGCCTTCCATTATGGCACATGTGCTTTTAAGTTTATTTCTTCCATGAGAAGGAGAGAGGCACCTCTAGGGAAGTTTTCATGCTGTGATTCACTTCCATTCTCAGCTGGCCCTGATCACAGACAGTAGTGTGTATGTCTAGCATGCTCAACGGAATTCTGGGACTGAACCCTTTTCCTCCATGTAGGTTCAGTAGTGTAATGCCACCACCTGGCCCACATCATGTAGTGTGAGTATATATATAATTTCTTTCATGAGCAAGAGAGACAGACAGAGAGAGAGAGAGAGAGAGAGAGAGAGAGAGAGAGAGAGAGAGAGAACAGCATTTCCAACAGGGTTCTGATGACACCCACCCTCAGCTTCAGCCATCCCTGGATCTTGGGCACGCATGTGCATAGTATACTCATGAAAGTCCCTGGACATGAACTTGGAACCTTCCTGTGTAAGTCAGCTCACAGAGTGTCACTTTTACCTCTATGCCACCATTTGTCCTCATATATTTTTTTAATTAAGAAAGTAGCACCATACAACTGCAGCACAGATTAAGCGAGCTGGGGAACTCTACCTCCTTAGTTCTGACTTATTCTCTGGGAAAGAGGGTGGCAATTTTTTCTGTAAAATATCAAGAAATATTTTAAGCTTTGCAGTCAGACTATAAGAGCAACTCTGCTGTTGCAGCACAAAAATTAGGTATAGGTTATATGTAAGTATATGATATGTTTCAGTTAAACTTTATTAACAAAATACGGACAGGGAAAGTACTTAGCCTGTGGGCAATATTTTGTTGACTCTGTTCTGTTGTGCAGTTGTAGATAGGAAGCCTTTACCAAATGATGATGAGGAGAATTGATGTGATTCCTGGATGGAGATGAAGTATCAAGGGTGATGGCTTGTCCCCAGTTGTGTCTGTCAAGAGACTGGATGGAGCTAATTTGGCAGAAGCTATGCAGTTACTTGATCTGGATTTACTACTTTTTCATATTTGACCTTCTTTCCTTCCTGAACTTTCCTGTTTCTGTCCTTCTATTCTTAGTAGACACTGTACACTTTTAATAGCCAACCCCTCTTATTCTCTTTTTAGTCTATGTTTATGTCCAACATGTATGGACCAAGTTCTTCAGGCAAGCTTTTGGAATTCATGAAAGTGTTTATCCATCAAAAATGTCAGGTCTTGAAAATTTGAAATTCATTTTACTTCCAAATTGTTGTCTCTAAACTTAGTTTTTGCAAATCTGTTCAGAAATTTAATTTATATTTTTACTCTTGGCTTTGTCAAGCCTGTGCACAAGAAATGAAAGCCTCTGGGTGCAGGATCTTGGGGTAAAAACACAAATAAAAACAAGAACATGTAATAGTGTAAGATACGCAAAATAATTATCCAGGAAATGATTCCCTCCCATCCTGACTTACATGTTATTGTGAAAATTTCAGTGCTAATTGCAGTCCCTCTCCATATCTTCCTACAACTACCACAGACAAGATGGAAGGGTAAGACTCAAAGAGTAAGAAATGGGAAATTAATTTATTTTACTTGGAATACTATTAATGTTCTATCTCTTTTATTTTTTACTTATAATAGAAAAGAAACTATCAGTGCATACAAACACATATTTTAAAACCCATTTTTAAAGTGTCTATTTTAATTTATTAAGGTTGCCTAGGGTTGTTTAATTATACAATATGAATATGCATATTTATATATGTATTTAAGCAATTTATAATGTTGCATTTAAATTTTGTTTATATTAAATACTGATTTTTTTACTAGAAAAATACGATCTTCAGGTTGCCTCATCAGAATTTTTAAATAGAAACTTTATCAGAGAATAGTTTATGTAAATTAGTGATGAATATTCATTCAATATGTAAAAATATGCAGTAGTATCCGAAGGTGTTAGCTTTCACTTTGAGTGTTTTGCATACTTTTTCTGCAAAGAGCAGAAATATATCAAAGAAATGTAGCAATCTCTGAGATAATTAATTTGGGACAGTTCATGATAAATACTATCTTTTAAAATTTTCTTTACCAGGGCCAGCTTGTGTGTGGTGATTAAGGTACTAGACATTCACATGGTGGACCACAGCTTGAGGTGCAGGCCTGTGAGATGCTTTTTCACTTTCTCTCTCTCCCTGTGTCTCTTTGATCAAATTTGGAAAATAATAATAATTGGGACCAGCTGATGGAATAATGGTTATGTTGCTGGACTCCTACGCCGTTGACTGCAGTTCAAGTCCCAGATCCAACGGCTTAAAACACATGCTGGGCATGTGTGTGTGTGTGCTCAAAATTCCAAGAGGAGATGGAGGAGAAGGAATTACAGTGTGGCCATCCCACCTGGGAGATAATATACCACTTTTTGTCTCTCCATCTCTGTTGCTCCAGCAAGTACATGCATCCTATAGCAAAAAATCTCTCTTCAAATAAATAAAGTAATTCTTTATACAAATTTATAAAAAAATTTTTCTTTATAAAATCATGGGTGTTTTCACACTTATAGTATCTCTACACATGGATACATTCCTTACTTTTCTATTTGTTTGGCAAAAAGGAAAAGAGACCAATATTAATTGCAGTAACTAACATTAAGAAAGAAATAATTATCAGAAGTTGTTACCTGATTGATAAATAATAGAGTGAAGACATAACTCCAAGGTTATCAGACTAAAATCAATGTTTTTATCCATATCACCTGTTACTATGGCAACACCTTGTGGCTTTAGATAATTCAATAAATACAGGACTTTAATCTAGATAATCCATGTCTCACAAATCACAATATTTTTATGTCAGTTGGTTTTTCCAGCAAAGCTTTGGTGCATTTATTTATTTCAATTTTTCAGTGGTTGCATTTATTCATTTATTCATCTAATATTTACTGAGTTTCAGGGGGAAGCACTGCGAGTCAAACAGACACAATTCTGAACTTCAGGAAACATTTACATATTGAAACCTTGTCAGTCTCTTTCAAATAGTCAGAAAATCTCTTTCAAAGAGAGACTTATTCTAGAGATGTGTCTGTCACTCAAAATATTTTGAGAATGCTTCTCTTTCAAGATTTCTTTCACAGTTTCCTGTTACTCTAAATAAGTGTTTTATTTTAAGGTATATATTTTAATTTTGGAAACAATTAAACATTATAAAAGCCCAAAGGAAACAAATTAGTATACATGTTAAGTTAAAGAATAATTTTTCCCCAATTGGGTTTCCCAGGCCTCTGTGTTACTCATTAAAATCATAGATTGAGAGATGAGCAGATGGTGTAATGGTTACATCGCTGGACTCTCATGTAGTCGACCACCATTTGAGTCCCTAACTCACACTGGGCTCATGTAAGTGCATGACCAAAATCCCTAGAGAAAAAATAGAGGGGAGGGGATTGTGACATGGCCATTCCCCTGAGGTATGATTTTTCTTTCTGTCTCTCTCTCTCTCTGGTGAGCACATGTGCTCTATAGCAAAGATCTTCAAAAAAAAAAAAATCATAGAATGGAGAATAACGTTAATTTCCTTTGACTCTTAATGTAAATTCATAGCAATTCTGTCAAGAAGTTGCATTTTTTACCCCTATCAATGGACAACATTGGGTTATCCTTTTTGAAGCTTCTTAATCAAACTTTAAAGAGAAGCACTCCAGTTTAACCACTTTTTAAAAAAGACAACATCACTGATCTATAGACATGCTTTGTATACTTAGTTTATTTTTGAATAGGGGAAAAGATATGTGATTAACATACCAATAGAAAAAATGGGAAAAATTCCAAAACGATGGCAGTGTTTTCATAATTTGTTTAAGAGAATGTTCACACTTGTATCATGAATTTCTACCACATCGTATTTCTGTTTATACTATTATGTTTGGTGTGGCCTCATTAGACTTTTGCCCAACTCTAATATCACTTTTATGCAACATTTCTGATCTCTCCATGGGTAATGATATTAGGTCGTTTAATTTCTATAATGTAGTATAATTATTTGAGATGTGTCTTTCTCTTTACTAGATAAAAGCTCCTTAAAAGCAATTATTGTATGTTTCATGGCTGATTGTATCTCAGCAGCCCCATCATAATTAATATCAAATGAGTAAATTGATGAATACAAGAACAGAAGAGATTATGTATGAAACAATAGATTTGGCATGCATTTGTACATGTAATGCTATAAAGAACAAAATAAAAGATGTGTAATGAAGGACCTACTCTAGTCAAGGAGGAAAAAGGAAATAGAAAAAGATTCTCAAAATTTTAATTACCAATGAACATATTATACATTGTACATTAGATTTTATTTGAGATCAAAGCAGATTTTTTTGCAGGAGAAAGTTAGCTGAAAATTTTTCATTGTTAAATATGATCACATCTAAATTTATTATTTTACAGGTGATTACAGACTATTGGACATACAAATCCAGGATCCATAAGACTTTACCACCTTGAATCAAAGATTTCTTTCATACTCTCCTTGTCTTTACTTCATATCAAGTGGCGTTTTGTTTTAAAGAATTAGTGCATTTGCCACAAGGGAGTTTTTAAAAATAAACTCCTGTACTTTCCAATGCCTAAGAATAGCAAGGTGGTAAAAAGAGAATTAGACGATGAGGTTATTGAGTCTGTCAAAGACCTTCTTTCCAATGAAGACTCGGCTGATGATGCTTTTAAAAAGAGTGAACTAATTGTTGATGTCCAAGAAGACAAAGATACAGATGTTGAAGAAGGGTCTGAAGTTGAAGATGAGAGACCAGCTTGGAACAGTAAACTGCAATACATCCTGGCCCAAGTTGGATTTTCTGTAGGTTTAGGGAATGTGTGGCGGTTTCCATACCTATGTCAGAAGAATGGAGGTGGTAAGTTTTTGTTTTTAAGTAAAAAATTATGGTAGTAAATTGCAGTTGGTTATATCAGATAGCTTCCATTGCTGCTGTAGTTTCTTATTTTTGAAACTCTGCATTCCATTGCACAGCTAAGGCGACTCCTTTGTGAGAAGGGAGCCTAGCTCTGTTGTTGGCTTCGTGGCAAGTACACTGACCTGGCTCCAGATACTCCAGGATTGCTTAGAGCTACCACATTCCTAAGTTCTTTCTTTGGATCCTATACACATCTTTGAATTACTGACTAAAACATTTCTAACGAATGTTGCATCTTTTGTTCTTGTCACTTACTGATTTTGAAGAATAACCTAAAACTTCTGGTGTAAGACAGCACTGGGGAAGGAAGATAACATTTTCTTTGTGTGCTATATTCTAATTTTTCAGTTGCCTTATGCTTCAAAAACAACACAAAAAAATTACACGTAATTTATTGTATAATTGTGGACTTCAATTGCTGATCAGAACTTTTAGATTCCAATAGAAGGGATGTAACAGGGTAATTAATATACTACCAGACATTCTTCATTCTCAGATATCTTAAATATACAGTTTTCAATTATATAGTGCTTTGGGACAATTCTAGTTTAAAATAAAACTTTAAAGAAACTGACATTTAAAAAATTATTATTATTAATTTTATTTTTCTACAGGGTACTTTTTTTTTTTCTTTTCTTAGCAAAAATGGCTCCTTCATTTTTCTGGAAAGAAGGGGAAAGTGAGAATCTTACCCCCCACACTCTGGAGGGGATGACCACATCACAATCCCCTCCTTTCTCCTCTCAGGATTTTGGGCATGCGTGCACAGCACCTGCTATGGTTTTTAAAGCCACCAGGTTGAGACTCAAACCGTGAGGTTGATCATGTGGGATCCAGCCACCTTAACCTCCATACCCCCCCGCTGGTTCCAACATCTTTAATTTTAAACAAAAATATTTGCACCATGACTGATAGTTTTGCTTTTTTTTATTTGTGCATATGATTGCTAAGGGTTATTTACCATAAATCGTCTTTAAAATGCAGGAAGAAAAGATCTTTACAAATCAAGAAATAATTCATGTATGATACTACTTCTATAGTACTCCAAAATTAAACTGAATGTTAAATTAACTAACATTTGGGTTGAAATTTTATCTTCTGTGTACATGAAAGCTGCTAAAAGTAAGTGTGGTTAAAAATATTGCATAAGTCATACATTTCAGCACACAAAGAATAGAATCATTTGGTATTTAATTATAGTTTACCGTAGTTTTGTCTACCAGGCAAAAATAGGATTTAGAGGTGGTTGTAATCTACAAACCTTACATCAAATGAAACAATGTAACCATTCAAATGTGAGGTTTTTTTTTTTTTTTCTTAACCTTTAAGAAATAAAAAACAAAACAAAACAAAACAACAAAAAACAACTAAGGTGTTATAGAATTATCAGTGAAATATGTTTAAGAATTTTTAGTTAATTTGACCCAGTACAAGACAAGAGGTGTGGAGAAAAAATAGACGAATTGTCTCTTTGATAAATCTTTCTGAGGGGTAAGAATTCAATACATGAAGTCAGTGATGTACTACCTAGCACTCTATTGAAATTGAAAGCTCCTTACCTAGTTGGTAACATTGTGTATAAATTACTTATCAAATCACCTATAAGCAGCTGTGCACTACTCTACCCTTTTGTTTCTCACAAGTCCTTACATATTCCTAGACTGACAGGAGGTAATTACTCATTTTGCAACCTTTCACTTTGTAAAGCTTACTGCTAAATAAGAAGGCGATTTTGCTGAAAGGCCAGATTGCCATCTATTCAGTACACATTCTGTCTTGGTGGAGAGTATGATAAAATTTAATATTTAGTCGTTGATTTTTTTCCTTAACCTTTAAGAAATAAAAAACAAAACAAAACAAAACAACAAAAAACAACTAAGGTGTTATAGAATTATCAGTGAAATATGTTTAAGAATTTTTAGTTAATTTGACCCAGTACAAGACAAGAGGTGTGGAGAAAAAATAGACGAATTGTCTCTTTGATAAATCTTTCTGAGGGGTAAGAATTCAATACATGAAGTCAGTGATGTACTACCTAGCACTCTATTGAAATTGAAAGCTCCTTACCTAGTTGGTAACATTGTGTATAAATTACTTATCAAATCACCTATAAGCAGCTGTGCACTACTCTACCCTTTTGTTTCTCACAAGTCCTTACATATTCCTAGACTGACAGGAGGTAATTACTCATTTTGCAACCTTTCACTTTGTAAAGCTTACTGCTAAATAAGAAGGCGATTTTGCTGAAAGGCCAGATTGCCATCTATTCAGTACACATTCTGTCTTGGTGGAGAGTATGATAAAATTTAATATTTAGTCGTTGATTTTTTTCTTTACTTTTTTTTTTTTCTTAGCAAAAATGGCTCCTTCATTTTTCCATACATATAAAAAGTGAAAATACCTTGACTTGGGGCCAGCAGGTGGTGTGATGGTTAAGGCTCTGGATTTCCATGTGGTTGACCATATTTAAATCCTAGACCTGGAATCTTGAAAATCATGCTGGGCGTTGTGTGCCCAAAATCCTGGGAAGAAAATGGAGGAGAAGGGATTATGGTGCAGCCATCCCTTTAAGGGATTGATTTCTCACTTTTCCTCTCGCTGTCTCTGTCTCTCTCTCTTTGGTGATTACATGTACCCTATAGCAAACAAACAAACAAACAAACAAAAACTTAAAGAAAAATATACCCTTTCTAGAGTTTTCTTGCTCCCAGATGTAAACACTAGAGAGCAATATTACATGTAAATAAAATACCACCAGATTTCCCCATTTCAAGATGGCAATTAGAGTACCAAAGTTTGTACTTAACATGCAGTATGGCACTGCGCCTCCTAGTATTGAAAGGTATCTTCTGCTGTTTAGCCAAGTGGCTTCAGCTAACAAAGTCCAATTCATTAATTATCCTGAAGAATAGAGAAAAGTAGATCCAATATAAGTTGGCTGGTCCAAAGATAGAATATGGAAAACACGATGGTTAAGCTTAATAAATGGTATAGTGGAGAGGCTACCAGGTCAGATTTTTGAAGTCAACTTGACTCTGTAAGGCTTCACTTTTTTTCTGCACCAACCATGACTTTTCACATTAAATCCCTTCTTCAGGTTTAGTTCCCACATCTGTAACATGGGGTTAATAATTGTGCTTTACCTCACAGAAGTCTTATAAGAGATAAGTGAATAATTACAAGTACTATACTTATAAATTTCCCTGGAAGAATGTTAAATTCTCTAATATATTTGAGCTGTGACTTTTCATTGGGATGGCTAATGTTAGAGTAACTCGAGTTAGTTAAAAAAAAAGGCTAAGTATCCAACAATGTATCATGCATTCTACAGAAAAAGTTCATGGAAACTATTCTGTGAATAATGCTATGCATGGAGTTCAATTGTTTTGAACCAAAATACACTCATACTTTAATTCCTATTCCCTTTGAACTTTTTGTAGTCTCCTTTAATTAAGGAAAGACTCCCAATTATCCCAGTCTTAATTCTCTCTCTCTTCCTCTCACTCTCTTTTTATTCTTAGTCATTTATGTGCAAGTAAAATCACTCCCAGTCTAAGATTTGATGCAAAGTGTTAAAATTCACTTTTAGGTTTTTTTCTTTTTTTTTGGGGGGGGGGAAATGCTTTCAGATTAGCAGTCCCTGAATGTTATTAATCATTTTAGAATTTGAATTTTGATACTTTCATTTTATACAATAAAACCTGCTTTATATTGAGAAACTTGAAAATAAAATTTATTACTATTTATTTCTGTAGCCAAATACCACCAGAACAATAGGAATAGCTTCCAAAATTATTCAGTACCACTTTCTTTTTTATCAATTATTTTATTCATCATTACTATTATTTTTTAATTTGACCAAAGAGAGAAAGAGTGAGAGAGTGAAATTGATAAAGCAGGCCACCACGTCTGGGGCTAGAACCACCTTTGGCCATGTGGGAATCCAGCACCTTAACCTCCGTACCACCTACCAGCCCCAATTAGACACTTGCAAAAAATAGGAAAAATATCATAAACTCCCTCTTACAAAGATAGGAATTAGTACCATTGATTGCATGATTGCACTTAGCAGTATTTGTTAGGACAGAACTCCAGATTGGAAATGTAAATGCATGGGGTCAGCTGGTAGATCCTTAAGGCTGCTGATCCCACATGGCCTACCATACGGTTTGAGTCTGGACTCGAGGAGTCCTCCCAGCTTATGCATATGTGCCCAGAACCTGGAAAGCAGAGAGAAGTCAAGGAGAAAGGATGTGGTGTGACCATCCCTCGTGGGAGGTACTGTCTCACTTTCCCTCTCTCTCTCTCTCTCTCTCTCTCTGGTTAGTGCATGTGCCCTCCAACAAATTAAATTGAATGTAGGAAGTCCAATTTAGAGGTAACTTAACAGTAATTTGCTATGTATTCTCATGAGGAAATGAGGATAGGTTTCACATTTATCTTTTTTATCTGGTTGATCGAATCTGCTGTTAACATTGTCAAACTATTCAGCACAATCTTCCTATTTTTTTAAGTTTTTTAATGAGAGGACGAGACAAAAAGAGAGAGAGAAAGAGAAACAGAGAGAGACAGGCATACACAACATGGTCTTCATAAATGATCTATCCGCTTCCTCAGCCAACCTAATCTGAGAACAGGCGTGTGCCCAGCATTCACAAGCAGGCTCAGGGATGCAAACCCCAGGACCTTCCCATGTGGGTCAGCATTGTAAGCATCATGTTACTGCTGTGCCACCATGTGGCCCCTCAGTACATTTGAAAATTATTAGTTAACTTGCATACTTTGAAAAACCATATTGTATGCAATACAGATGTACAATTAAATTTACATAAGAAATCATCAACTAAAATGATGACTCTTTGTTCACATTTGTGACATAGCTGAAAAATGGTTATATTTTTTAAGTATGAAAACTTTATGTAAGTAATAGCATGTAGATTTTTATAAGAGACTGAAAATGTTTTAGTTTTTCAATTATTCTTATCAACCCATCTTAGAATTTTGGAAAACAAGAAATCATTTCCTGAAGTGCATTGGTTAAATGTGGCATATATGGAAAAAAATAACATTTGTCTCTGGAAAAGTTATTTTGCCTTTATTCCTTTTCAATTTAGGTAGCTATTTCTTCTTCCAGTGTGTTATTTTATTTAGAAAAAAAAAAGAGTAAGTTTTAATGCCATTAAATCTCATTCTCTGTAATTATCAGTGTTGGAATACATGATTTAAATATTTGGATAAAATTTAGTAAATGACTTCATCAACATTATGTGAATACAATTTTTAGGCTTCTGAAAACTATTCCAGTAAACAATGAATTTTAAAAATATTTATTTTTTGGAGAGGTTCTTGCTATAGGGCATGTAAGCTCGCCAGAAAGACAGAGAGAGACAGACAGAAAGCAAGAAATCACCCTCCAGGGGGTTGGCTGTGAAGCAGTCCCTTCTCCTCTGTTCTCCTCTCGGAATCTTGGGCATGCATGCCCACGTGCCTGGCGTGAGTTTAAGCCACCGGGTCTGGGACTCGTACCGTGGTTGACTACATGGGAGTCCAGTGACAGGCATTACACCAACTGCTGGTCCCAGAATCAATTATTTTTATGGAAGGTGAAGATGTTTTATTGTTTCAATAAAATGAAACTAAAGCAATTAATTTATATCCTTACTTTTGTTGCAATTACTACTTTTATTGGAAACTCTTTGTAGCACTCAAATTTAGCTTTCAAGTTCTAGAAAATCTGAAGTAATGAAATTATATTTTCTTCTAAGTCTTCTGTAATTTTACTATATAAAATTTTAAATATTGTCTTTTGCTCTCTACTGTGAATATTACAAATATAACTATTTTATTTGTTCTTGTTCCTGTAGGTGCATATCTTTTACCATACTTAATACTACTTCTGGTAATAGGTATTCCCCTTTTTTTCCTGGAACTTTCTGTTGGTCAAAGAATTCGGCGAGGCAGCATTGGTGTATGGAATTACATAAGCCCTAAACTAGGCGGGATTGGATTTGCAAGTTGTGTAGTAAGTTTCCTCTTCTGGATTTTTTTTTGTTTTTTTTTTTTTTTAGTATAATTCTAATAGGGTGGGGACTTACAAAATCCACATTTAAATGATACCTCTGAGTATGTGTTTCTATATAACTCTTTTATCTGGTTCAAAAGAACACTGCTGGAGTGTGGCTGAGTACTTAAATTAGCTGCTAATATTGCTATTACTGAATCTTGTTAATCTAAGTTCTAAGGCCTGTGAGAACCACTAACTTTTTCAAAAAGATAATGTGTTTCACATAAAAAATAAAATGAGGAGGATTTCTAAAATATTCCATGGAGTCTATGCATTTCATTTTATGATTTTTGAGAAAAAGGCACGGTAGGCTGAATGTAATCTTGTTCTTTTATTTTGCAGGTGTGCTATTTTGTGGCCCTTTACTACAATGTCATCATTGGCTGGAGTTTGTTTTATTTCTCTCAATCTTTTCAGCAACCACTTCCTTGGGATCAGTGTCCTTTGGTGAAAAATGCTTCACACACTTGTAAGACATGTATAATGTAGTGTTTTGTTTTTTTTTTCTTTTTTTTCTTTTCTTTTTTTTTTGAAGATATGAGACTGGCAAAGGCATAAGTGTTTAAGTTTTTTTTTTCTTTTAAAAAATAATGTGAAAATATGTTTCAAAATTATTATAACAGATTTTCCTCACATTTAGGATTTGCATATCTTAGGGACAGCTGTTTTGTTTGTTTGTTTTAGTTTCTTTGCTATCAGGTACATGCACTTGCCAGAGAGAGACAGACAGAAAGTGAGAGATCCCCCCTCAGGAGAGATGGCCATTCCTGCAATCCCTTCTCCATTCTTTTGTTGGGGTTTTGTGCAATAATTCATACACATCAGATGTGACTTTCAAGCTTCCAGACTCAAGACTTGAACCACGCTGTTGGCCATGTGAGAATCAGCTGCCTTAACCACCATGTCACTGGCTGGCTCTGAAAAAGACTTTAGATACCATCTAATTTTACCAGCTCTTTTCAAAGTACTTTACTATGCCTCATGGCATCAGAGTAAAATAAGCCTTCAATTATTAGTTTTGACAGTCTTTTATTTTGTTCATCCTGATTGATGCCTTACATTTTTGATTCTGTTGTTTCAGTCTTTCTATCATGCTTAGGATCCTAGGATATAATAAAGAACAATTCCCCTAAAGTAGCAATGTCTAATGTCAGCCCTTAAAGAAGCAGTTCAAATTTTAATGAAACAAAAGAGTTTATCTGGGCTTGTGTAATTTACAACTTGGGAGGGGTGTAACCCAGGAAACAGATTCAAACAGACTTGAGTGTGTTCAGAGGTCTTACCACCTTCAGGCAGGTTTTTCTTTGTTTTAATGTTGTGTATTTATTTTGATTTTTATATATTTAATCACTATATATCGCTTAGCTTGTAAACTGAATTTTCCTAATATGATGCTTCACACCAGTCCATTTGAGAATACAAAACAACTTTTCATCAATAGATAATCTATTTCTGTGTCCCATAAATAACTTGGCTCTCTATTTTCTTCTTTAATTTCTTTTCTTACACTCACCCCCTTCTCTCTCTCTTTTCCCCCATTATTTCCAGTATCTGTAACTATTTTCAATGCTTTTATATCCTCTGATCTTTCAGTTTCCATTAAAGAGTGTGGACAGTTGGTGCATGTTAAATGGAGACATACAGACAGGTTTTAAAGGCAAACAGCACAAATGAGGTTGAGGGGATAGGTACATCAGTTGTTTGGGAACAATTATCTTGGTAACCAGAATCAATGGCAAGGCTGAAGTTTGTCCAAGTTTGGACAGGCAGGTTCTGGGCATATATCTTGCAGAAATAGTTTTTTTGTAAGGGTGTAGTGGTTACTTTACAAGGCTGTGGTTCTGGCATATCTGCATGAGAATCATCCCCTTGGTGCCTGCTCCAGCTGCATTCAGTCAGGGTTTCCCACGAGTTGACACAGATGATTTCATTTTGATTCCGACAACTTTCACACCACAAGTAAACCTTACATGCATCTCACTTACATAGTTTAATATTTTCTTATAGCTACCTTTAAGAAAAGTCAAAACAAACAGGTGAAATATTTAATCTTATATATTCAAAATATTATCATTTCAAGTATAACTAATATAAATTACTTTAAGGCAATAAGCTGACATTATTTTCCTTATACTACATCTGAAATCCACTTTGCATTTTACATTTACAGCACACTGATAACTCCAGGCATGGACAGGCTGATAAACCTCGTTCTTTTTGATTACTTTGATAAGAAGGTCATCTGTTCATACTTCAGAAATGCATAATAAGAAATAGCAAAAAAGATACATGTCTATTAGTTTTCATAGTCTTGCACAGTTGAGGTTCTTAGTCTTCATTGTGGTTCCAATGCTGTGGAGTAGTGGTAGTGCTCTTTAAGGGGACGTTAAGAATTCGTTCCCAAGCGTACTTGAAGAAAATAAGGTCTCATTACTCTTTCTAGTTTGTGATTGTGTGTTACCTTTATTTCTACAGTTGTAGAGCCAGAATGTGAAAAAAGTTCTGCCACCACCTATTACTGGTACAGAGAAGCCCTGAATATCTCCAGCTCCATTTCTGAGAGTGGGGGCTTAAACTGGAAGATGACCGTCTGCTTGTTGGCTGCCTGGGTCATGGTCTGTTTGGCTATGATCAAAGGCATTCAGTCTTCTGGAAAAGTTAGTATTTTGGAGCCTTTCCCAATTCTGATCACTATTCCTGGTTACCCTACCCCCCTTAAGCACTATTACAGATTTTTGTGGATAAACTGCGTATAATGCCTCATTCTAGGTAGTTAATTAAAGATTAGTAAAAAAGTGGTACACTAAAAGATGTTTAAATTAAGGAACGTACATACATTAAAATGTGTTTTACAGTGAAGTCTCATGTCATTAATAACCTTGTGTTTTATTTTAATTTTCTGATTACCAATTAGTTCCAATTATGGAAATCGAGCAGAATGGTAAAATGAAGAATTTCCTCATTTTGTTTGTGCTGTTTTATTTATTTCTCTCTGTTGTAAGTCTTCTAAGGAATAGTTGCATAAATAATTTTAAAATAGTGTAGTGTAGAGTGTTTCTTAAAGCTCTGACCAGCACTAGGTAGGTATGATAACCCAAGATATTCAGAATAATGTAGAAGACTAAAGAGTGTGTCTAATAGGGAAGATTGAAAATTTAAAAGCCTGGAGTTAAAAAAGACCTAGTGACTTCTAAAACGTAAAAGCTAGTCACTATTTTGCTTTCATATTGTATATTTTCCCCCACTATCACTGCCATTATTTTAAAACCCTTTACATTTCTTGGACCATAGTAGGAATTTATTGTTAACTGTTGTTTTCTCTTCCCCTTAAGAGTTCATCTCTACTATTTTTCTTTCCAAAGAATAGCTCAGATCATATATATTTTCGGGCTAACTTGTTCCTACTCACTATCATATACTAGCAGGAGTGGGAATAGTAGTAGCAGTAGTTGTAATATTAATAATAGTATTAGGACCATCAGCTGGCATGGTGTTTAAGGTGCTAGATTATACATAGCTGACTCTGCAGTTTGAGTCCCGGACATGGTAACTTGAAAGTCCACTGGACACACGAGCATATGTGCCCAGAATACCGAGAGGAGAACAGAAGAGAAAGGATTGCAGAGTGGCCATCCCCTCTGGGCGGTGATTTCTCTCTTTAGCAAGCCACATGTGCCCTATAGGGAAAACCTTAAAAAAAAAAGTAGTAAATGTTGATGGTAAAGATGATTCTTATGATGATTAGAACAAGAACAATAATAGAAACCAATTTTTGTTATATGCTTATTTTGCTCTGGGCACCATGATCAATACTTTATCTCATTGAATTCTAAAAACAGCCCTAAAAAATAATCCCTACTTTTGGGTCCATTTTACTGATAAAGAAAGCAAGAAAAATAGGTTTAAGAAATTAGGTAACTTGTACAAAGTTTCATTGCTGGAAATTCCTAGTACTTGGAATCAAATACAGACTTGTCTAACTGTAAAGTTCATGTTTTTTAATTGGAATGCTTTATTATCTCTCACTCTTATATTTGTTCCCGCAAAATAGTGAACTCTTTCAAAAAGGACATCTGTCTAAATCATTTTTGCTTCCTGTTATTTCATATATAATTGAAAATTTTTTTTTTCTGCTAAAAATGATATTTTTAACTTGTAAATCATAGCTGATTTTCCATTTTCCTTCCTGATGGAAACTCTGTACCATGTTTTTTTGCCTTTGAAGAAGTAAATATAATAGATAACACATCTGAATATCTTTAAATTCTTTGTACTGTTAGCGTATGACTAAGAAAGTTCAATCAGTTGGCTCAATTGAACTTGTACAATGTTAGAACAGTATTAAAGTCAAATCATAAATAAAGCAATAGGTTCTTAAACCAGATCTAACCACATTTACATGACTCCTAAGATAATGTCATACGATAGAAGGAGAACCAAGTCTCTATGGAATCCGGCCAGAGAAGTTCAAAAACCCTCCTGTTCAATGATCATGTCACCATCTTTTGTTTCTGTTTCTCCTTAGTCTTGGACTTCTTGTCACCTACAGAACTATTCCTTCTTATCGTTGCTGCATTTTTGGGGGGGGCTGTTTCTCATATCATGTAATATAATTTTAAATAGCAAAAGGTAATACAATGTATGTTATATGCAGTTTATTATTTCAATGAGAAGGTTTCAGAGAGAGCGTGGTGTTTGGGTAGAGTTTGATGCAAGAATGTAATAGGTATGGAGGGTGAGAGAGTTAGCTGTAAGTAACACAAGCACATTTTGGAAGTCTAAATTATTCCAGTTCCTTAGTCTGAAACAATGAAACAATAAGAGGAATTTTATGAGGAATAAATGTAAAAGCCCTGTGTTTGCCTACTAATAAAAAATGCTTACAAATAGTAACAAAAGTACAGAATAGAGAAATATGGGTTAAGTCTAATATGTGAGAAAAGAACTTAAATCAAAGGATTTAGCAGCTAAACGAATGTGAGTCATCTTGTGGTGTGCTTGTTTAACACACGAAAGCACACTTGTACATACATCCCCCAAAATGGTAGTTGGAAATTACGTGAATTAAAAGAGGGATATGATATGTCATTATCTTTTGAGCGTGGTAGACACCTTGCAATGGGTTCATATCTGCAGTACTGGATTTGATTAAAATCTTTCATCTTTCCTTGTATTGTGGAGAAGAGAAATCTCAGCCCTGTGACCACAGTCTTCAAATAGTTGAATCAAAAGAAGGCTGTTCTGAGTGTCTACAGAAAGAATTATGGCCGAGTACTGGAGATTATGAAGGGTGGTGGAGTGGTGATAAAAATCTTAAAAGGAAGAGCTTTCAGAAATCATGCCTGGTAACAGGAAGTAATCACTTCAGTGGTAGAAAGCTCAGCGTCAGTGAAGGTGGGCGGACAAGCTATGTGCCTTCTCCTTATCACATCTATTAAAGGAATGTCTGCCCCAAAGAGAAAAGGTAGAAATGAGAAGCTCTAAGATTTCTTGTAATTCTAAGGCAGTACTTTCTACTGCTTTGCATTATGATTATCACTGTGCTAAGTACTTTGCATACATTAGCATTTTTAATCTATCAGCTATATGACTTTTATGTTTTTATTTATAATTATTTTTTTTCCTATAGGATACGTGTGCTTGCCAGAAAGACAGAAAGACAGAGACACAGAAAGCCAGAAATTATACATACACACCCCCCAGAGGAATGGCCTTGCCAGAAACCCCTCTCCTCCACTCCTCTCGGGATCTTGGATACGCACACACATGTGCCTGTGTGAACTTTAAGCTGCCAGATCTGGGACCCGAACAGTGGTTGACTACATGGGAGTCCAGTGATATAACCATTACGCCATCCACTGGTCCTGATTTTTATGTTTTTATATCCACTTGAATGCAAAACTGACAATTTTAGGAAAAGTAAATAGTTGGCCAGGATTAAACCAGCGGGAAATGACAGAGCTAAAATGAGTCTTCTTGAAGGTGTGTTTACAATAAACATTTTAATAAGTAAGGAAAACAAATGCCTTATTATATGCTTTCTAGTTCAGTAAAATTATAGTATTTTCATACAATATTCTGCTTGATAAATTAATCTCTCTTACTTAATGTTCTTATTGCAGAAGTTATTTTTGTTGTCAAGGCCTAAGGGTTGTCAGTATCAGCCAGAAGAACATATCTCAACATTTCATTTCTTAGTTAAAAAAATGTACATTTTGGGGGCAATGTAAAGACCACTTATTCATTCATGTAGTATTTAACAAATATTTATTGAATGCTTAGTCTGTGCCAGACATTGACCTGGTTTTGGAAATGCAGCAGTGAGCGATGCGGATGAAAGACCCGTCCACATGAAGTTCTCGTTCTGGTTGCAGAGACAGACAAGACACAAATTCATAAAGTAATTTCAGGTAGCAATGCATAGACTATAGTAAGGATAAAATATTTGGGGTACTATGGCCAGTTAGATGAATTTTTTTAAATTTAATTAATTTTTTTCCTGAGAGGGAGAGAGGGAGAAGGGAGAAAGAGAGAGAGGGGAGGAGAGAGAGAGAGAGAAAGAGAGAGAGAGAGAACACCTCCCACAGGGTCCTGACACTGTTTCACCCCTAGTGCAACTAGCCCTGGAGCATGGCATGTGCACCCTGTGTGTTTAGGAAGGCTATTGAGGACCTTCTTAAATCTGGAACCTTCTTATCTGGGTTAGCCTTGTAGAGTGTTGCATTACTACCACTCTAAACCCTGGCTAGGTTGAATTAAATCTATTTTTAATGATCTGAATATTATGCAAGTATTTTGGTGTAATACGACTAGAGCCTTGTGATTAGATGCAAAGAATTTATGTTTAAAAGCAGCAGGGATGCCTCTATAAAGTTCTAAGGATATATCTTGTTAAATCTTGGAATCTAACAATGAAATGTTTTGTCCTTTTACTTGCTCAAGGAAGAATAAAATTGTGTTATGATCTACTTAATACCACTTATATGCTTAGTATCTTATCTTGGTTGTTACTTTTCTCCACATTATATGATTGACATGTTTCTTTTCCTTTTTAGAAATCTGTGTTAGAGTCTTATCACAGAATCCAGATCAGTGTCTTTAAGAACCCAAATGTTTGCTGGATTAATAAATAGAAATCAAAGGGGCCAACAGTTGGCATGGTGATTAAGGTGCTGGACTCTTGCATGGCCGATGGTAGTTTGAGTCCTGGACCTGATGGCTTGCTTTCCCTTTCCTTCTCTCTGGTCAAGTTAAAAAATAAATAATAGTAACAAATAAAATAAAATAAGTAAGTTTTTTAAGAGAGATTTTTGTATATGTGCTTGCTGGAGGGAGAGACAGAAAGCGAGAAATCATCGCCCTTCCGGGGGGAGGAATGTTCACACTGCAATCTCTTCTCCTCCATTCTTCTCTTGGGATTTTGGGTGATTTTTTTTTTTTTCCTGAGATTTTTGGTATAGGATGCATGTACTCGCCAGAAACAGAGAGACAGAAAGTGAGAAATTACCCCCCGGGGGGATGGCCACACCGCAATCCCTTCCCCTCCATTCTCCTCTTGGGATCTTGAGCATGCACACAAACGCACCCGGTGTGAGTTTAACCCACTGGGTCCGGGACTCGAATCATGATCGACTATATGGGAGTCCAGTGACATAGGCATTAAGCCAAGTGCTGGTCCCACAGGCACGTGAGTTTTAAGCCACTGGTTCTGGGACCCAAACTGCAGTTAACTATGTGGGAGTACAACAATGTAACCATTTCGCCATCTGCTGGTCACTAAATAAATACTTTAAAAAAATGAAAATTCAGATCTCTGTTCATATAACTAGTGATTTAATAAATACTGCAGAGGAAAGATAAGTTTTTATTTTAAGAAAGTGTGTTCAGAGGGACCAGCAGGTGGTATGATGGTTAAGGGCTCAGGACTCCCACCTGGCCAATCTCAGTTGGAACTCAGTTTGAGTTCCAGACTTGGCTTCTTGCTTTCTCACTTTCTTCCTCTCTCTCTCTCTCTCATTCACTCTGTCCCTCTCTGGTCAAATTAAAATGAGGAAAGAAAAAGAAAAAGAAAAAGAAAAAGAAAAAGAAAAAGAAAAAGAAAGAAAGGGAG